TCATTATCATCTTCAAAACTAGCAAATCTTGTTCGGACAATTGTAGTATATTTACTAAAACTGCCGTCAAAAAATACCATAAATGATGTTGACATCAAATGAAAAGAAAGAAATCCAGCGTATATCTCCTATAGACTAGAATGCATTCGTGAAGACATGAAAAAAATTAGGGATAAATGAGACACTAAGAAAGTTAATGAATTAAAAGATATCGACAAAGTTACAATTTTTAGTAAATCAATATCAAAGCCTAATCCTTGAATGGTTAATGCTTTAAAATGAACTAATCGAGCTGCTTCGGCAGTAGGCGGCAGTTTATTATTAGTAGGCACAAAAAGCAATAATGACCAGTATACACAAGCGGGAGGAATAATTGCCATTGTTTCTCCTTTTATGGAATCAGTACTTTCTGCTTTACAAACAAGTTTAGAAAAGGATATAAAAGAGCAAGAGAAATTTTTTGAAGAGTTAGAAAAATTAGAAAGCAATTACCAAGAAATATTAGGAATTATTGATAATTATACTAAACTTGTTGTTTATAGAGAAACTCAAAAGGCTTTTGAAGACTTTAAAAGAGAAGTAGAAAAACTTAAAAGAAAATTAGAGTTCGCAGAAGGAGAGAAAGAATTTGATGCTGAACGAGGAAAAGAAGACAATAAAATGAAAGAATATTGTAAAAATAACTGGGAAGAGTATTGTAAAATTTCACGAAGAGTTGAGGAAAGGATAGACGACTTACTAAAATCCATGGAAGAAAAAGAAAAACAACAATATGAAGCCAAGATTGAAATTTTTCCCGAGTCAAAGTTAGATTAATTGAATAGTCTTTTGCATTATATTACAAAATATTACAAATTAATATTATTTTCATTACTTCTCACAAAACAAAAGAGTTTAAGGCATCCTCAGAGATTTTCGTTTTGTGTCCTCTTTAATCTTTTGGATGGTTACTTTCTAACTGAACTGATAATTTTTCTTTCTGACCTTTTCGACAGCGCCAGCAATATTCTCCTCAAATGACTGAAAAAGTCTGAAATCTTTGTCATTTTCTGAAAAGTTGTCTGTATTCAAGACCAGAAGCACAGCTTATTAGAAAGTTTTATAGAAATTACCTCTTTGTTCAGTTTGATGATCGTCAACAAAAGTATATTTCTGAAACCTTCCTTCTTTTCTTTATTGATGAATGATTCTGACTAAATACTTATAACGTGATTTGTCCAATTTTGTAAAAAAAATTTCAGCACTAATTTTGCACAAAATATCAATTTATGAAATCGGACATTTATTTATCAACTGAGTAACTTCAACAACTGCATTAAGCGAATTCTCTACTAGTTTATCTACCCTCCTATCTATAGCCTCGAACAAACCCTTATCCATAAGTTTTTCATTATCCTCCATTAACTCCTTTGTAACTTTTATTTGTTCTTTCAGCATTTCTGAGGTTTCCCCTTCTCACAAATTTTCTCCTTTTTCTAACTTTTCCAACTTCTCTGTTATAGTTCTTAATTCTTTCTGCAAACGTTCACCCTCTTTTTTTACATACTCATCAATTTTTTCATTTATCTTATCGAGGTTTTTTGGTCTATAAGTTTCTTGTCAAGATTCTAAATATTTTAGTAGAATTTTTCTTGACTCTCCTCGGACTTCTTTATTAAGAGAAATTTGTCTTTCTATTCTTTTGCCGTTGCCGGCAATGCTTATTGGGGGATTATCGACATAGATAATTCTCCTTTTACACAAATCAATCATTTTAGTGATTGTTTCATTGTCTTCATCAATCAATAATTCAACATCTTTCTTGCATTCCTCCTCGTTTTCAAAGTTGGAAAACTTAGTTCGGACTATAGTAGTATAGTTAGCAATTTCTTTATCAAAAAGTTCTATCAATATATTGTAAGAATCTATTTCTTCCTGCGTAAATTTTTCATGAACTACAAATAGCACCTGGCTTATTCCTTTCTTAGCTGCTCTACACCCCCTGACTATTACAGAAAGCACTTTACTAGGCTCCATTTTCATATCACCAAACCCCACTGTATCAATTATTTGATATTCTTTACCTTCCAATTCAAACTCCTCAATTTGAATGGTTTTGGTTTTACTTACAGAATATCTTCCCTCCTCAAACTTTTCTTCTTTATTAATCAGAATGTTAGCGAGGGTCGATTTTCCACTACCAGTGCGGCCAACTAATAATAATGTTTTTTTTACCATATTTTTTAATACTTATTTTCTTGTTGACATTAACTAAGAACGCAATTTATCTCTTATTCTAAATCATAGACTCAATCACCACGATTGTTCTTCTGTCATATTCCTTAACTCCGCTTCCTTAGAAATTTTATCAATGTCTAACCTATAACTTTCCTGACAATTATTTTCTAGATGACTTAATAATATTTTTCGCGAAATTTCCCTACTTTCCTTTGCTGGTTCAGTTGAATATCCAACCAGTGGAGGGTTATCAACATGGATAACTTTACAAGAAGAAAACGAGTCAGAAATTTTTTTGATTTCTTCAATTAAAAATTCTTTATCTTTCTTGCATTCTTCCTCAACCCTAATCTTATCCTCCTCATTATCTCAAGCAAAATTGACAAACTCAGTTCTTACTATAGTAATATATTTTTTGACATTTCTTCCAAAAATATTTTCCAACAACTTAAAAAGATTTTTTTCTTCTTTAGATAATTTAGTATTATCAACTCCAGGAGTATCAATTATACGATAGTTTATTCCTTCTCACTCAAACTCTTCCATTTGAATGTCTTTTGTTTCACTAGCACCGTACAAACTTTCCTTAAAAATCTCTTGGAATTCTGTATCTTCCTTAAAACTATTTAACAAAACATTTGCTAATGCTGATTTTCCGCTACCAGTCCTTCCAACTAAGAGAATGTTTTTAATTTCTTTTACCATAACATAACTAACTTTATTTTAAATTTCGTTTTATTTAGAAGGTACTTCAATCCTTGCCTCTAACTGCTGTTCCAACTGCTCCTTATAATTTTCAATTCTTTCTAAAATTTTCTTAACACTTTCTAATTTTACTTTTGATTCAGTGAGATCTGCTTGTGCTTGGCAAACTTTATCGAGATCTTCTTGTATCAAATTTTTATCTTGCTTTCCTCCACCAAAAAATTTAGAAACAGAACCAACTACTTTTTCTTTAACATTTGATAATGAATTCTTTTCTAGACCATCCCTCGCTTTTTTTAGGTATTCCTTTTTTTTTTCAATATCTTCTCTAAGTGCTTCGACGATAATTTCTCTATCATCAATAACTTTACTAACTAACTTTCTTTCTTTTTTCCCTATTATTTCTTCCTTTAACTGACTAATACCTTTCTTTCACTCAACAAATTTTTCATTTTCTGGGAGGTGAGAACTTAATTCTTTTAGTTCTTTAATGAGTTGAGTTCCCATCTGTTTGCTTAATTCATTCTCCTTTAATATTGCCTGCTTCAATTCCCTTTCTTCTATCTCTTTCTGTAATCTTTTCAACTCATCTTTCACTTCTTTTTTTAGATTTGAACCTCTTTCTTTAATGTGCTTAATAAACTCTTTGTTTATTTTTTCTTTTAATAATTCTTTATCTTTTCATTCTTTAACAATTA